ATTCTGAGGGGTTGACTTTTCACCTTTTTTAAGTATAGTAGCTGAAACAAGCTGCTTGGACATTTCTGAGCGAACACGTGTCCCAGACGGTGTGCTAGGGTGCTGTACGTATTTTGCCGCTTCATCTCAAGCCCCTCAGCTGTCAATGTGATACTCATTCTATGCCCTGCAGTGCTTTCTCTTGAAAGGGGAGAGAAAATTAATAATAATAATAAGAAGAAACCAGTCTGACCTTGGCCTTGTGTTCCTTTTGGTATTTTTAATTTGTCTCTCATCCCTTTGTGCATGCAGTTGAAGACACCGTTGTGTGGTGTGTCTAAATCCCAACCTCTCCGTATTCCCTATCACGTACATTCCTCCATTCCAGGAGCTGGAAAGTAAGAGTAGGGGTTTGAGGCCAGTTAACTCTATAGAGATAGGATTCTTGGTATTTTTCAAAACTAGAACATCTGACATGAAGGTTTCTGGATTTTGTTAGCTCTCAAATCCTCACCTGAGCTTGCAAGGTCCTGCACTACCTGGCCTCTCTTCATCTTCCTCCCTCTCCACGCATCCTGGTCACACTGGCTGCTTTCCCGGTGCTTCCAACAGACCCACCTCCCTCTGGTTCTTGATGTGACTGATTTTTCTCATTGAGCTCACCTGGTTAGATGTGGCCTTCTCAAAGAAGCATCTGGAGCCTGACATAAGTAGCTCCTTGTATTCTAGCCTATCACCCTGTTGTATTGCCACCATAGCTCTTTGGGCCATCTCCAATTGTGGATTCCCCCCGCTCTACTGCCTACCTTCTCCCCTTAAACTGCAAACTCCCTGAAAGCAAAGACCTTCTTGGGGCTGCAGTGATAAAAAGTGTCTGTTACATGCTAGGGGCCATCACCATGTGGTGAATGAATGCGTCTTTTGTTTCACACAGCCAAGGCAGAGGAAAACCAGGGGTCCTGACTTGATTGCAAACTGCTTGGGGATTTGTGCATAATAGGTAAGTGGGTTTTAGCAAGCATTAGTAACATCTCTAGCACATAGCTAATTAGCTAGCTAAATTGCTTGCATGTCTTCATTTAATTTCCACAATCTTCTGAGGTAGGCATTATTAGTATTCCTATTTGATATACACAGAAACACAGAGGTTACGGAAGTTATACATGACTACTACATAAGTAGTAGGTTTGGGAGGGGTTTTGAGCGCACACTTTTTGCTCCTTAATAGAGCGTCCTCCGTCAAGACAGCTCCTGCCTTGAACTCGGCCCTCTGTTGCGAGCTTCGTCTGCATTGCCACTCAACCCTTCACTTCTGCAATTGTGCCTGCCATCCAGGTGGGCAGACGGAGGCTTGGGCAGCCTATTTATCCAGGGCGACGCTAACAGAAGCCATACACGCAGATGGGCTTACACAGAAATTCCTTCTCTCACAGGTGAGGAGGCTGAGTGTGGATTCAGAGGGCTACTTCTCAGGGAAGTCTGTCTGCTGGAGAAAGATCCTTGGCTCTTGGGCGTAGCCAATTCACTTCTGAAACGGATCAGTATAGGCATTGGCCCCGTATGATGGGCAGCTGTGAGATTCCTGTTGGCACATAACCACTCTGGAGTTTGCTGCAAAGGTATCCATCTCCACTCCCGAGGCTCGTGGCTGGGGTAAAGAAGAGGTGCTATCTAGCTGCAGGTTGGTAAAGACTTTACATAGCAGCCCAACGCGGAGAATCAGAGAAAGAAATAGGAATTGAGCTCGTAGCAGGGATGCCACTTGCCTGCGAGAACAAATTTAGTTTAGGTGACTGAACATCCATTTCTTCAGAAAGAGCATAAGGACAAAATGTAGAAATGTGATTATTGTGCAAGGTCGATCTCCGTTTCTAAAATTAACTGAGACAGATCGAGAGATATCTGAACTTATCACCGGAACTCATTCCGCACTGAGCTGAAATGCAGTCTACAAAATTTTGCCCTATAGTTGTGTGACCATACTGTTGGGTGTTTTTGTTTCGCCTTTTTTGTTCATTTGTTTTCAAACTCGGAGTACTTCCTTAGGGACTCAGTTGTGCTAATGGCAAAAGCCGCAGTGCAGCTAGAAGGATGCTATTCTGGCTCCCGCAGAGGGTAGGGAATAGAGCATCATGTATGTAACCATGTAACTGGTGTTGTTAGGTGCCCTCAAGCAACCCTCCACACGATGGACGGAAACACTGCCTGGTGCTGGGCCATCCTCTCAATTGTTATGTTAGAGCCATTTGTTGCAGCCACTGTGATAATCCAGCTGTTGAGAGTCTTCCTCATTTTTTATGCCCTTTTACTTGACCAAAGAGGATGTCCTTTTCCAAGGACTAGTCTCTTCTGGTGTGTTCAAAGTACATGCTGTCTGTTAAACTCTCCTTTGTCAAATACGTCCAACGCCATTGTTGTGGTTAGCTGGTTTTGCATCACGGTGACTATTTAGTTATCCAGTGCTTCTATAGTAAACCACACAAGCGGATGGTTCTCCGCTTTGAATGAAAGAATGAAAGAAATTCATTCTCTCACAGGTTAGGAGGCTGAGTGTGGATTCAGAGGGCTACTTCTCAGGGAATTCTGTCCGTTGGAGAAAGGTCCTTGGCTCTTCAGCCTCTGTGTTCTGGATCCTTGGAAGTCTCTAAGTGTCTTGGCATCTCTCGGACCCCATCTCGCCTCTGCCGGTTCATATTGATCCTATAGGGCAGAGTAGAACTACTTGTTTAATCTCTTGCATATTTCAAGAGATTGACTCGATTATTGCACCCAAGGGAGCAATCGTACTTCCTTAACATAACAACCCTTGACAGTCCAATCCCAAATGGCATTAGAACCACTGGTGTAGAGGTGACGATTTACAGCACAGCTTGGGTGTCAGGAGGTGAGGGTGGGCACATAAATTCAGTCTATAACCTTGATAACCAAAGGAACTATGACCCACCCACCCCTGCCCCGTCTTGGTGATTGGTGGTATGTTTGAGGTTATTATCGTTGCTCTTCTGTCAATCCATCTCATTGATCAGGTTTCTCATTTTCCATGGCCCACTACCAAACATAGCTTTTCCAGCAATTTGGTGGTTCTCGATGACGTGTCCAAAGTAAGCAAGCCATATAAAAAACAAACCAGTACACAAACCCCCCTACTGCTCAGTCGATTACTACTCTCAATAACGCTGTAGGACAGACAACCTTTTGAACCACCGGCCATGTGGGCCACAGCCAAGCCCTCTCATCACTGTGCCCTGGGGGCTCCTTAAGCTAGCCATGAACCCCCAAATCTGCTGCCATAAACACAGTTCTGATTCTTACCAAGAACCCACTACAATCAAGTCCATGCCAACTCATTACCACCCTATATAGGATTTCTTAAGCTATAAATCTTTACAAGAGCGGGCCCCTCACCTCTCTTCCAAGTAGCAGCTGGTAGGTTTGAACCACCGTCTGTGCAGTTAGCAGTCCAGTGCTTACCCAGCAGGTCCATCCAACAGGGCTCCAGAAACTGTGAATCTTTACAGATGTAGGCGGCTTTATCTTTTCCATGAGAAGTGGCCGGTGGGTTTGAACCACCAACCTTGCGGCTCTACGCCTAACGCACTGTCCCATCAAGATCTTTAAGCTCAGCTGTAGGTTTGCCATTCTTAGCAACACGTGCCAGTACCCACACACCAACGTACTCACATGCAAGACAGGGAAGTAAAATCTTCAGAACTCACAGACTATTTAAAGACCCTGTCTTTAAATAAAGTGTCCATGTTAATAAGAGGTTATGTTCATATAGCTCTTTGAAAATTTCCCAAACTCCACTGAGACCAGTCAGTCCACTAAGCAAGATGAAAATGAGTTCAGCCAATACCACGGAGCTCTCACGTCCAACATTTTCACAGAACTCTTACAGGTGCTATCACACGCACGATCCTGTGTGATCCTGACTGGAGCCTCTCTTTGAGGCTCACAATTACCCGGAAGTGTGGGCATGGCCGGTGTTATTAAGCCACTTTATAGATGAGGAAATTGAGGGTAATAGAGTCTAAGGAGCTTCTCTAAGGTCAGGCAGCTAATAAATAGCAGAGGCAGGGCATGAACTGAAACCCTTCAGACTGCAAGTTTCATTTTCTTTCTGTGGCCACACCCCTACCCCCGGGGTGATGACATTATGAGTTCTGAGCACCACCTCTAAAGATTTTTTTTTTTATCTAGGCCATTTCACGACAGGACGTGTGGGATTTGCGATGTGCTCCCTTTTCCTCTGAGCTGCCCTTGTGCCTGTCTTCTTTGCCAGCTCAGCTGGGCCCTGTTTGTCTGTGAGCACAGCAGGAGGCACTTGGGAAGCAGGCCTCGAATGACGGGGTCTGCAGCTTCCAAACAACTCTTGCTCTGGTTCCTGTAGGAGCACCTGGCCACTGCTCTTTGCGCCCAGGGTGACAGAAACGAGGCTGGCCCTCCCCTTGACGGTGGCTCTCTTCTCTGCGCCTATGTGCTCAGGGAGCAGGAGCGCTCTATTTCTCCCGCTGCTTCTATTTTTATGACCCATTGCCCTTCCTGCCTTCCCAACTGGTATTGTTTCTTTCGGGGTTTGACAATGAGTCGCACACATGATCAAATCTAAGCATTTCCTTGGGGAATGGGGTTGACAGATACACAGTCCGGCAGCGTCAGCTGAACATGCAGCAGACCATGGTGGATTTAGGAGACCCGGTGATGCACAGAGTCCATCGGCTAGTTCCCGCAGTGACGGGACCGCAGAGCTGGCTGCTTGTCCGGCCTGCACCCCCAAGGCCAGTGTGTGCCTGCTGACTCAGCCAGCTGGCCCATAGACCCGACCAGTAGACGGCAGGCATCCCTGAGCTCTCCGTCGGATCAGAACGAATGGTTTGCTTTTACAGAGACGGGGGCCTCACAAAACAAGGAGATGGTTGCATATGTTTGACTAACCGATCTTCGCAAACAGAAGCCAAACACCCTCTTTCCGACCTAGAAAATACAAATAAACTCAAGCCGTGTCTCTCTCCTCTTTGTAGACATAGGAGTCTCGAACCTCCCATTGGCACGTCAGGATGCTGCTGCTCTGCCAGGCTCTCGCTGTAGCAGTCATCCAGATTTTCATCCTCGCAGAACACCGGACACTCGCCAAGAACATCAACTTCTATAACGTGAGGCCTCCTCTGGACCGTAAGTACGCCTCGCCTCCCCAGGCCTTGACTGTGGGGTCAGCGTGCCCATGGCAAGCCCCTGTTTCCACCTATGGCAACTTTGCCTTTTCCAGAAACTTTTGGCTTACCCCCGAGAGCAAACAAACCAGAAAGTCTTCCTTACCTTGACTTCCTGTGAAGTCTCAAAAGGGGTCCTGTTTTCAGTTTTATTTTTCATTGGAAGCACTGTCCCTGATCATGGCCCGCAGCAGGGGAAATGCAGGGCTCTTGGGTTAATCTCTTCAGTACGTGCTGTACATTTTTGCATAAATTATGCACAAACTCTTTCAAATGGCTGTTCACGGTTTTGAAAACAAATTAGGCTGTGTTTGAAATCTGGAAGCGGGAACATCACCAAAGCAAGATGTGTGGTTATAGAAATCTCCACCAGCAAAGGCTATCTGACGCTCAGAGGTGTTCCCTCTTAGCTTAGCAATAAGCAGCTACCACTGTGCATCATCCACAGAGTAATATATGCTTAAATATTTCCTGTACCTATATATGTGAGGGCATGTATACCCTTCCTCTTTCCTTCTCCCTCCTCAGACAAGTACAACTTTTCTGGTCTCATTAGAGAGACTTTTATAAATGACAGTTATTTGGTATAAATGCCCAAGCCTCTGCTTCCCACACCTGGAAGGGTATCCCCTTGAGCGATCCATTCCTGGATCACTTCCGCGGCGATGCAGGCCTCAGGAGAATGGGGCACCGGGACAGAGCCATCACTGGAGGGTCGGGGGCCACACTGGGCAGCGCCGAAATGGCCGCGTCTACAGCTGTGGTGCAGCGATTCTGCAGAAAGTTACTTTTTATAAAAACATCTCTGCAATTAGTCACTACGTTTTCCATAGCCCATCTGCGTGCATCAGTATACCTACAAGCCCAAAACTCTGCGCTGACTTTTTGAATGTCCAGTGAGCTCTGGCCAGATCTGTCATGATTTCCCAGTTACAAAGACATCTTGAATCACACAGTTTTGCCTGTTTGCACTACACACACACACACACACACACACACACACACACACACACACACTCTTTGGGGTGGCTGCCAGGGTTTTGATAGCCACAGATTTTATCCAATTTTCCAGCATTGTTAAAACGTTCAGCATTGTGGTAAATAGTGTTTGTGAACCTATACTGGTAGCATAGTGATTACCATTTGGTTATGATCCACAAGGTCAGCAGTTCGAAACCACCAGCCCCTCTTCAGGAGAAAGACTGGGCTTTCTACTCCCAGACAGAATTATAGTCTTGGAAACTCAAAGGGGCAATTCTACCCTGTCCTACAGGGTCAGTATGAATCTAAATTGAGTAGACGGCAGATTGAGTGAGATATTGGTAACTTTCTTTCTTTTTCTTTTTGAGGCTGAAGTAGCAATTAAAGGGGAAAAAGGAGACACTTTTTAAATAGGCTTCCACACAGTTACTAATCATGTTGTAACTATGCTCTCATTCAATGTAGAAAGATTTTACAAAACAATTTTGTTGTTAGTATTCATATACCTAAGAAATGGCACATTTAGGCAATTTCTGCTTACTGCATATTATCCTATGATTATTATTGGCAGTAAACATGCGTCTGGATTCTGCACGGTCTGTCCGTAGAAGAGGACACTGTGAGTTACACGCAGGATGGCACCCACCCTAGTGACTCCACTGGACAGTGATTGACTTCTGTGTTCCTTTTCACCTTCTAGTTTAAAAAGATCTTCTGATCCTGCTGATGCACACAGTCAAGGGTGGGACTCCTGTCTTGATACCACTCTAAGTGAGATCCATATCCCTCTAGTTCTTTCCATTGAATTTCCTTAATTACTTATGATAATCATATCAGTATGTGTGAGCATGTATACCTATAGATTACATTGGGACTCATAGACATTCATTCTCATAGATAAACACATGCATATACTATATACCATGTCTCTTGAACTAGCCCTTACTATTAATTTCTAAATCAATAATATTTGTAAAATGATTGCTTAATGGCATTGCACTGACATAATTTTTATAACCCAAACACCCATCCAACTATGTTGATTCTGACTCACAGCCACCTTGTAGTTCGGGGTAGAACTGCCTCTGTGGGTTTCTGATACTGTAACTGTTTACCAGAATAGAAAGCCTCAACTTTCTCCTGCAGAGTGGCTGGTGGTTTTGAACTACTGACCTTGAGGTTAGTAGCCCAGCCTGTACACCACCAGGGCCCCACAGTTTCCATAGACCCTGCAAATTTCAGACTTCTAAAACCTACCACAATGTATATGTTTAAAATCATTTTATTGGGGGATCTTACAGCTCTTGTAATATTCTATACATCAATTGGATCAAGCATATTTGTACTTATGTTGCCATCATCGTTTTCTAAACATTTACATTCTATTTGAGCCCTTGGTATCACCTCCTCTTTTTTCCCTCCCTCCCCTCATCCCCACCTCATGACCCCTTGATGAATTATAAATTATTATTGTTCTCATATCTTACACCAACCGCTGTCTCCCTTTACCCATGTTTCTGCTTTTCACTGCCCCCCCCCAGGGGGGGTGTTATGCGTCGGTCATTGCAATTGGTTCCCTCCCACCACCACCCTTCCCCCAATCCTACCCTTCTGGTATGGCTATTCCCATTTATGTTCCTGAATGGTTTATCTAACCTGGATTCCATGTGTCATGAGCTCTTATCTGTACCAGGGTACATGCTCCGATCTAGCCAGAACTGAAAGGCAGGACTGGGGTCTGATAGTAGGGAATGAGGAAGCCTCAAGGAACCAGAGGAATATTGTGTGTTTCGTTGGTGCTATACTGTCCCCTGGTTGACTCAACCCTTCCTTGTGACCCTTCTGTAAGGGAATGTCCTATTTTCTACAGGTGGGGTTTGGGTCTCTGCTCTGACCCCCTGCCTTCTCAACCATATGTGTTTCTTAATTTTGCTTTGTTTGCGGTCTTCTGGTTCCTGTTACCTGATCCATCAACACCTCATGATCACGCAGACTGGTGTGCTTCTTCCATGTGGACTTCTTGTTTCTCTGCTAGATGGCCACTTGTTTAACTTCAAGCCTTTAAGGCCCCAGATGCTATATCTTTTGATACCATCAGCTTTCTTCACCACATTTGCTTATGCACCCATCTTGTTTATAACGATCGTGTTAGGAGGGTGAGCATCACAGAATGCCAGGTTGTTAGAACAAAGTGTTCATGCATTGAGGGAGGGATTGAGCAGAGGCCCAAAGTCCATCCATTTCCTCATTGTATTGCCATACAAATATATGCACTAGGCCAATACCTCTATTTTTATGAATTAATATACTTACATAAGTGCACAACTATGTTTATACCTCTATCCATAGTTTTGCTTCCTAAATCTTTCCTCTGGTTCCTTTTACTTTCTTCCTGCCCCACCATCACGCTCGCCCTTCTTCTGCCTCTGAGTAATTCCTCTGAGCTAGATTGCTGTTGCTCCACCGAGATCGCTACGTCCTCATTGTGGCTTTTAATTCCCGAGTTGTTCCCTTGTCTCTGGTGTTGTTCACTCACTGCTCGAACCCCACCCCCGATCCCTCCTCCTCCCCCCAAGCCCCTCCCAAACCAGGGATCCTGATGCTTTCTCCTGGGGCTTGCTTCCCATGCCTGTTTTATATAGGTAGGCAAAATAACAATGAAAGAGACCAAAGGAAAACAATAGAGTGAATAAAAATGGAAAAAGCAAAATAGAAGAAAAAAATGAAAAGAAAAAGCTAGCAAAAACAAAACAAAACAACGAAAAAGCATACATCATTCCAGGTGTGTCCCCTGACCTTTATGACTATCTCCCCACCAGTCCTAGGGGGTTCTGGGACCTGCCCTTCAAGCCTGAAGCTTATTTGGGGGGCACCTCAGGGCTTTGGTGGCTTGGCTTTGCTCCTGTTGCTGATATGTTATGTTCCCTTCTTGGTTCACCCCACTACAGGGTGTTCAGACTGGACTGTCTCCCCGCCATGTGTCCCCAGTGTTGTCCTCTGTCACGGTGTGATCCAGCAAAGGGACATCATGTCTCCAACTGTTGTCAGCCCCACAGTCCACGCTATCTCAGCAGCTCTATGCAGGGACATCATCCTCAGGGCTTGGCAGCCATGGTGGGGTCAAGACCCTCACTCTCTGTTTTCCCTTCTTGGGTTGCTTCTGTATGGGCATGGCAGGCTGGCCCCTCTCCCTAACCTGTAGGTTCAGTGTTGTCCTCTGTAGCACATACCTCTAGATAGGGGTCAGTCTGGCTCTGATTGGGGCCGGCCCTGTACACCTCTCTGTTCATGAGTTGCTCCATGTGGTTACATTGCTCTCAAGGTTTGGTGCACCCATTTTTATGAGGAAAAATAGGAATTTAAAGGGGAGGAAATAATAATCTATGCTCATTATGGATATTTTCAAAGAACTAGTCAATGTGCAGAGAGAAAGAAAATGTCTGTATACTCCTCAAGATTCAGCGTGAACTCCTTGTTACATTTTTAAATATTTCCTTCCATGGCTTTGGTGGCAACTTGGTTATGTGTCGAGCTGCTAACCTCAAGGTCAGCAGTTTGAAACCGCCAGCTGTTCCACGAGAGGAGGAAAGGCTTTCTACTCCTGTGAAGAGTTCCCGTCTCAGAAACCAGCAGAAGCAGGTCCACCCTGTCCTGCAGGGAATGGCCGCCATGGCGATGAGTTTGGCTGCTCTGTACATGCATGTAAATATATCCTTCACGAAGACCAGACGAATTAAGTTTTGCACCCTTTGTTTTCTTTTGACACTATATTTTAATGCCTTTTACCTTCCCATTAAAAAAAACTATAGATATGCATATATCACCAACAAACACTGCTTTATTTAAAATCTTTTAAAAATTATTTTTTCTTTCATTGATTACTAACCTTACACTGGGTTAGAATTAAGGGACTAGAATTAAGAAAGCAAAGGTTGTGCGAGCACTTTAGACATTCATCCCCAGCACTGAGAATGATATGTCTGAGACAGTGCTGACTGACAGGTCAAAATGGGCCCCTGCCTCCCCGTCTCTCCGCTGTTCTTCCTTTGCCCCCTTCTTTCTCTGCCCCGTACCTTGTTCTACTCTGCAAAGCAGAGATGTATTTGCATGTGTTCTGAAACCTTTGACACCTTGCTCTTGTTGCTGCTTTGCTCCTGCCTTGCATGTCAGTGTGAGGGTGCAATGGTTAATCGCTCAGCTGCTAACAAAAGGTTGGTGATGGGGATCCAAGAGAGGCTACAGAGGAGAACACAGCTGGGGACCTTCCTCCCCAGACCGCAGCGTGGGAAGTCCTGCGGGGCCAGTGCTCCTCCCTCCTGCAGGTTGACTATGAGCTGGAATCTATTTGATAGCACCCAATGGCAACAGCCTAGCTCTTACACAGAAACTGAAAGAGTTACATATTTATATCTATTTTTCTCCCCACCACTTTCAACCACGACCACATCCTTTACCACAACTTCTGGTTAGACTATTAGGGACGGCCTGAGTACACCTTGATCTTGATTTGTTCCTTGCTCCAAAAAGAAGGCATCACACGTTTTTTACAAAGCATTGTATGCTGGCCCATACAGAAATGTCAGATTGGTTTTTGTTTTTGTCTTCATGCTTAGCATCCGTTAACATCACAAACTGCAAGGCAAAAGCCTGACAGACAGAAGAACGTGCCAGTGCTCTGAAATCAGATGTACTACATATTACCCTATGATTGCTGTTATCTGGAGAGAATCCTTTCTTACCTTAACACACTGAGGCTGAGTGTAAGGGCCTGAGACTTTCTGTCCACAGACTGTTTCCTAAAGAGGTCTTGGTGGGATAGTGGGTTACAAATTCAACTGTTAGCTACCAGGTCAGCAGTTCGAAACCATCAGCCACTTTTCAGAAGAAAATGTGGGGCTTTCGATCTCCATAAAGATTTATAGCCTGGGAAACCCACAAGGGCAGCTCAGCTCTTCCCTCCAGACTCACTGTCAGTCAGAGCCAACTGAATGGCAGCGCTTTGGTTGGTTTTATATAAAATGCTCATTCCATTCGTGGTTGAGGAATTGACGTATATCAAATATCGAATACGTGATCTACATTTGGTGTATTATAATGGCCATCTAGCACGTGAGAGCACCGTGCTTCCTTGTGGTTAAATGTAGCTGTAGTGAGTGGATATGGATGTAAACCAGCAGCACTTGATGTGCCTGGGACTCTGCTAAGTATATTTCAAGTAGTCTCCTCTTTAATCCTCATTCCCCACGGAGAAGCTTCATAATTATTATTTTCTGAGAGCTGAAAAATGTCACAACTAATGAATGGTAAGGGCGGAATTCAAACTCAGGCAAATCAGACTCGAGTTCTTTTCAAGGGTGTTGTGATGGGGCTGTTGGCTCCAGTACCCTCATCTCCCGATTTCATCCCAACCTAGAATGGCGTGATCTCGTGGGTCTTCCACGGTAGCTGGTGGATTTGTTTTCATTCTTTGATGTTGTTAGCTGCCGTGAGGTTGGCCCCTGACTGCAGGTGGCCCCGAGCACAATGGAAAGAGCTGCTGCCCCGTCCCGTGCCGTCCTCGTGATCTGTTGGGGAGCTGATGGCTGTGATCCATTAGGTTTTCATTGGCTGATTTTCAAAAGCACATCACCAGGCCTTTCTTCCTGAGTTTGAAGATGTTGTTGGAAGGTTCAGCGTCATCATACCAGCACACACCTCCACTGACAGACGCGGGGCCTGTGCATGCGGGTACGGGCCAGGGATCAAATCATCCTCTGGAGAAGGCAGGAATTCAACCACTGAACCCCATTGCCCCACTTTCTGTCCACTCGAGTAAAACTTGGAAGGTGAAATACTTAGAGAAAAGGGAATACAGAAAATGCCTGCAGTCTGGCGGACAAATTTAGCTCCTTAGGAACAGTGTCTAAGGATGGTTGATGGCTTGTGAGTTTTGCTTGATCTAATAAAAACATGTTAATATTGTGCCATGTTTGAAGTTTGATGTTTTTGTCTGTTTTAACCTTAAGGTTTCACTTTATTATTATTATTTTTTTTCCTTTAAAGCAACACCGTTTCCAAACAGCTTCAAGTGTTTTACCTGTGAAAACGCAGGGGATAATTATAGCTGCAATAGATGGGCAGAAGACAAGTGGTGTCCACAAAGTAAGTGTGCCGAGTTGGAGCACTTGTTTCATGGTCTCGTTGCATTTAGGTCTGTGCTCTGGGGGAGACAGACGGGGTGTTCGACTCTTATAGAGTTACAGCTCCAAGGGCAGTTCCACTTGGCCCTACAGTGTCATTATGAGTCGGGGCAATGGTTGGAGTTAACACGTCATCAGGCGCTGATGATCTACAGGGATCGAGACATTTCTTCTGCAAAAGTCTCCAGACATCATTCTCTGTTGAGAGAACTTCAAACTGCTAGCATAGCCTCAATTTGTAGTTTATGTCTGCCTGGAGGGAAGAGTCTCTTCCAAGGCATTTACTGGGAGGGCGGGGAGGGGGGGGCAAAAGGACCACATGTTGGCTCAGGCATCCTCAGAATTTCAAAAATGCGTAATGATACCTGCAGAAAAGTCAGACTGGCTGGCTGGCTAAAGCAAAGGAAGGCTTTTGTGCTCTTGAGAGACACTGATACTTGGGAAACTCATCTATTCATTAGCAACTATTGGATGCCCTTTAGTTCGCTTTGTTTGTTGACGTGTCCCCACTGCTTAGTCAGCTCCGGTCCCCTTTTGGGCACTCAGTAACGATTTGTCATCAGAATGAATAGATACCTTTGATTAGGTAGTCAAAGAAATCTTCTCATAGAAGGTGGCCTTTGAAGTAAGATCTGGATGACCCACTCAAGGTCGTCATGCAGCCATGTATAGGGAGAGCATGCCAGGAAGCGGGAGCAGGCAAGGCCAGCTGTTCAAGAGGCAAGAAGGGGCTTCATCTGTTCAGTGATCACAGAGGAGATGGGCTGCTGAGGCTTAGGGGGCGATGGAGAGAGGATCTGAGATGGGCCCTAGGACCAAGCACAGGCTCCGCTTTCTGTGATCGAGTTTGGACTCCACTGTAAATGTTGCAGGAAGGCAGTAGAAGGTTTTAAGGTAGGGAGTGCATGATGCTAGTTGTGTGTGTTTTAAAAAAAAGACCACTCTGGTTGCTGTGGAGAATGGGTTGTTGGAGACGAGAAGGGCATTGTCTGCAGGGAAGGGAAGGTGATGAATGGGCCTCATGTGGCTGGAGTCAAGGAGGACAGAAATCACACATTTTACTACGTAGGAAACTTTGGAAGGAAGAGACAGGATTTGCTGATGGGTGATTTGGGATTGAAAATATTACTTCAGGTGTGTTAGACCGGGTTGATTAGAGAAACAAATCCAGAAACACTCATATGTGTATAAGAATGAGCTTTAGCAACGAGCAATTGTATATTAAGAAAACATCCCAGCCCAGTTCAGATCAAGTCCCTGAGTCCAACATTAGCCCGTAAGTCCAACGCTAGTCCATAAATCCTTCTTCAGACTCACGCAGCGCATGCAATGATGCCGGATGCAGGAAGATCACAGACCAGTGGGTGAAAAGTCTTTTGGATCCAGTGGTGGTGGAAGCATCTCCAGGGCTCTGGCTGCCATCAGTGTGGCTCCATGTAGCTTGTCAACAGGAAGGTGACGCAGAGAGAGTGCTGAAGTTCCCAGCATCTTCATAAGAAGGCCATGCCCACAAGGAGACATCCAGCAGGCGGTGACCTTGTGACCTGATTGATAGGCTAGAGTCCACTCCTACATTCTATTTATCAAGTTGATGTGAAATTATGTAACTACCACATTAGGGCTATAAGGAGACTGGCTCTTCAGCTTTTGGAATGTACTTTTTTTCTTTTTTAAGTTTTCAAATATTAAAGCCCAAGAGAAAAGCCAAATGACAAGCCAACAAAATCCTTTCAGAGTTAGATGTTACCAGTTAAAGTCTACTCTTACCTTTTTGTTTTTGGAAAATTGCAATGCCACCTAATTTGGAGCAGGGGGTAGCCTTACCCATTAGGCCATCCTGGTAGCGCAGTGGTGATGGGCTCACCTGAGAACACTGGGCCAGCCGCTCCCTGGGAGAAAGAGATGGCAGTCTGCTTTCATAGTGATTACAATGTTGGAAACCCAATCCCTGGTGCCTAGTGGTTCCGCATTGGGCCGCTAACCACAAAGCTGGCAGTTAGGAACCACCGTCTGCTGCAAGGCGGGCCGAGGGGGCTTTCAACTCCTATGAAGAGGTAAGGCCTGGCAGACCCACGTGGGCAGTCCCACCCTTGCTATGAGTTGCTATGAGTCTGGAATCAACTCAATGGCAGTGAGTTTGGGTTTGGTGGGGAAGGTAGCAGTAAGGCTAGTCTGTCATGCCTCCCTGAAAACCTGACGCTTCGAGAGCTCCACATGGACCGCCAGCACATTCCAGCATGGTGTAAATGGCATTCTGGACCATGTGCCAGTCAGGTCCCCTAGACACGAACCACCTTGGAATGAGGAGGAAGGTGTAATTTCTTACTTTTCACTTCCTCATTGTTTGGAGGAGTGATGTCAACCAGTTCTTGGGGCCAACAGACCCGCGGCTACTGTTCTTTGTCATCTCGGGTTTCTTTTTCATCCGACAGCTTCTCTTCTGTGGCCTGCTGGCATTGTTGAAGGAGGTTCTCTGTGAAACAGGATATGACAAGAATGACATTTCTTGTTTTATTTACCCTGGCTTCTCCTCTGACTTTTTAGGGCTGTGTTAGCATGTGTGACATCGGTATGAATGCATGCTGCTACCAGATTTCAGCTCTTCTTTTGTTTGGAGTAAAATGGCAATGCCTTCACAGCATTCAGCCGTTTCCTTTCCTTCTGAATGCATAAGTCAGCTAACCCTGGAGAGCATTCTACAGCACCATCTAGTTTTAATTAATATTCAGCATATTAAGAGTCAGAACACCACTCCCCCTCCACTCCACCCCACCCCGCCCCACCCAGAGTCCCAAACCCACTGCTATCTAACTAGTCAATTCTGACTCATAGTGACCCTATGTAGCTGCCATCAGCATAGCTCCATGTGGCCTGTCAACAGGAATGCCTTACAGGGAGATGAAACAGAGAGAGAGCGTATGTCCTGCCTTCAGAGAGGAAGACCGGCGCTCCCAGAATCCTCCGGAGGAGGCCATGCCCACACAAGGCCTCATTGGCCATGACCTGACTGAAGGCCACACTCCACCACTTGTTGACAGGAGATTATGTAACTGCCACAAATAGCATTTGATGAAGACTACAAACCCTAGCGAAGGCCCTCTGTTAGAGCCCCACCTCCTACCATGTTCTGCTTGTTTGACCATAAGCCAGAAACTCTGCCTTGGTTACTCCATCTCAAAAGTGAAGCTATTAATCAGCCGTACTTTACAGGCTTATTAACACAGCACTGTGTGTGTGTTCTTCCTCATATATGGCGCCCTCATAGTGTAGTGGGTTAAGTGTCAGGCTGCTGGCCACATGGCCAGCAGTTCAAACCCCGCAGCAACTCAGAGGGAGAAAGATAAGGTTGTCTGCTTGTGGAATGATGTCTGGTCTCAAAGGAGGGTCAGTTCCTTCTAGGGGCCTATTGAGTCTAATGAGCTCAATGGCAGTGAGTGAGTTGGTTTATTACGGCTATGATCTAAAGCTTACAAGAACTGTATTAAACTAGCAGTTGCCACGGAGTCAGCGCCGGCTCATGGTGACCTTCAGTGTAACAGAATGACACGTTGCCTTCCCTCCATCATCTTCCTGATGCGTCTCCTGTGGCTTTTGTGTCAGTCCTTCTCATTGGGGATTTCCCTTAGTTTCACTGAGCCTCTCTTTGACCAAAGAGGAGAACATTCCATACCATCATGTGACTAACAAGGCAATCGAAGCTAAAGAGAACTTACCGTGGCTTTGCTCACTGGTAGCAGAGGCAGTCCCAGTAGCCTCAGCCTTACTCTAGTTAGTTCCCATGCTGGAGCCTGCCTGCCGAGTCTCTGCTCCATGAAATAAGCGGCATTTCTTTGTCCCAAAAGACCTTTAGAAGAGTCCCTGAAGCAGAGGGGGATGGTAGAGAATATTGAAGGAAATACCTCTCTTGGAACCATCCTAAGTAATGAAAATGTAATATTTAAAGATCTAAGGATAAGTCGGTGGATGAGGAGCTTCAAGCAGCGTGTGTAAAAAGCCCAGGATCTTTTACCTGCATGTTAACCCTCTCACACTTTTGGAAGTCCCCTTGTGGAATTTCTCGCTACCAAAGGATGGGGAGAAAGACAGAAAGTAAGAGTTAAGCAGTCAAGAAAGTGGGAATAAGCGGGTGAGGCAATGTCATTGGAATGAGTAAGAGCATGAATAAGGGCGAGGGGGGAAGGAGGGTGGTCTGGAGGTGTCATTTGAAGCACTTGCTCAGAGCCCCACCGGGTCTATTAGTATATAAGAAACAAATGTTTTAAAATTCAAAGAGAAATGTTTGGGTCAGCTGCCTTTTAAATTCATGATTTCCTTTTCTCTTGGAGTTCAAGGACATGTGATTCAGAGAAGAGCCCCTTTCACTGGAATTAAGCAGAATGGTGGTTCTGATGAAAAGCTTCCCACATGTTTTGTTTCATTTGGTCTGGTTTTGTTCTCAGCTGAAGCTGGCCCACAGGGGTTAACACTCACCGCCATCGAGGTGGTAGTGGCCCTAGAGGACAGAGCAGACCCCCTGTGAGTTTCCAAGCCTGTACCTCTTTGAATGATTGGAAAGCCTGCCTAGCTCCTGTGGCACCAGAGGATAGGTGCCCATTTATATTCCTTTTCAAAATATACAGCGATGTCAGAAGCTGTTGGCTTTAAAAATGCCACCTCAAAACTCCCGGGTTCCCCGTCACCAACTATCTTGCTTGGAGACCTCGGATCATCCTGACTATTAGTCCTTTCCGAAGGGATTAGCGGGAGATCTTTCTGTGTTTTTTTGTAATGTGGAAAATGGCATTGCCCTGATCTCCCCTCTTCTTTCTCCCTGCCCAGATACCCAGTACTGTCTGACCGTTCATCACTTCACCAGGCAGGGCAGGAGTACCGCCATCACCAAAAAGTGCGCCTCCCAGAGCGAATGCCATTTTGTTGGCTGCCACCACAGCCTGGACTCGGACCACACAGTAAGGGTCGTGCGTGTGAGACATGACTTTGCAAAAGGTTCATGCTAAGTTGTCTATCATGGAAAGTTTCAGGTGTGTTCTATGTCATGGGAAAGTCAGGAAGGACAAGTAATATGTTGAATGCATTTGCGCTTCAAGGAAACACTCCATACGCTGTAGTTGCTCAGTGTCATCTGAAGTGTTCTGACTCCTGGCGAGCCCACGTAGAACACACCGAAACCCTGGGGACGCCTGCACCATCCTCGCTGTCCTTGCTTCTGCCCATCGTGGCAGCCCCTGCGTCAAGCCATCCTGTTGAGGAACTTCCTCTTTTTCCTGCCCCCCCCCCTTTACCAAGCATGGTGGCCTCTTCCCACAACCGGGTTCTCCTGCGAACACATCCAAGGACGTGAGATGAAGTCTTGCCCTCCTTGCTTCTAAGAAGTGCTCCGCTGTATTTCCAACACAGATTTGTTTGTGCTTCTGGCCGTCCATGGCTAAGGTCAAGGAAAGGGGAACCAAAGAGAATTGGAACACTGTCCACATCAAATAATGTCACCCGCAAATGACAATCATGGGTAGTATCCAGAGTTACAGCTTAAGCCTTGGACTTCTGGGGAATTTTTTGAGGCCTGCTTCAGTGGCCCAAGCACAAAGCGTTCATGAAAGCATGATAGGTAGTGCCCTTGACACAAGCATGGGGAGAGGAGCCTGGTGTACAGTGACTCCTTGTTTTCTCCCCCACCTCTACAGAGGAGAGGAAGTGAGCACTGGGCGGGGAGCCTCCGTTTAGTACAATGAGCCCACAGAGGTCTTTGAGATCCATGGGTCTCCTTCTTGGGCGCATGCCATCAATCGAAACGTGCATTGTACTCTTTGCTATGCCTGGGATGCTGAAATGTTGGAGAAGAAAACAAAAACAAAGCTTGGAAGGGTGTTGATTTCATGAGGTTTTAGAATTTGACTTTGCTTAAAAGTTCAGAGAAGTGGGTCTGACATCATTGGTTTTTGGTTCGGGCCTGGACATCTGGATTGGTGTTTTTTGTTTTTTTTTATGTACCCCAAGGTGACTCAGTGGAAACCACTGATCTAGAGCCTTGCTAAATACACAGTCCTCCACACAACGCCCCCCCCCCACCCCGCCCCCAGCCCCCAGCCTGCGTGTGGTCCATAGGGTTTGCTTGGCTACAACTTCTATGGAAGCTGATGACCAGGCACTTCTCCTACAGTATCCCTGTCTGTCTTTGAACCAGCAACCTCTAGGTGAATAGTCAAGGGTCAATTGCTTGTGCCACCCTGAGACCTAGAGGTACAGGTCTTTATCTTTCCTAGACGTTCTGGAAGCCTCCATTAGTGTCTAGGTTTAACAGGCTAAGCCATTGTAAAGGCCAAGCACAGGGAATTACCATGGTTCCATACAGTCCTTAGAAGTAGCTGTAACCTTGTGCTGTAAGGGACCCACCCCTTTTCACCACTCAGCAACCATAATTAGCAAGCCGTTGCTGCCCTGACGATAGGAATCAGGTGTTAGCACAGACAGTAGAGCTTCATTATTATCCTCTAAAATGCAGCACCAAGAAGAAAAATCAATGACTAATCCCCACAGTTCCTAGCTTTCATTTTCCCTCACAAGCTTGTAGAAGAATTGTCGAACCAATCCAGCAGCCTCATTCAGTTTTGGCTGGCTTATGGTTGGGTTTGGCACACGGAGTCCTGGTTAGAATGGAGATGCTCAGGATGGTCTGCCCTCCCAGCCAGTGAGTTGAGGGCACACAGTGGGGAGCGTCGGCTGGAGAACCATCTGGCATTCTGTCTGTAGAGAGACCCGAGGACACTTTTCTTTGTTTTATCCCTTCCCTGTTGTTATTATTATTCCTGGTATTCAAGCACCACTCCTCCCCCCTTCCCACGTTTTGTAACAGGAGTGCCGGTCTTGCTGCGAAGGAATGATCTGCAATGTGGACCTGCCCACCAATCATACGAACGCCGTCTTTGCGGTCATGCATGCGCAGAGGACGTCTGATGGCAGCATGCACGTGCTCCACCTGCCAGTCCTTGTCGGGGTCTTCATGCTTCCCTTGCTATGACGATACCATCCTTCAAAGTGGCAGACACCCGTCTTCAACCGCCCACACGGACAAACTGTGTACACGGTGAACTTTTGAGTAAAGACCAACTTGGCAGCTGGTGAAGAGGGCACATTGGAGCCCAGCGCAGTCAGTTGTTTGCTTAGCTAAGGCGTGAGGTCACAGGATTGGGAGGAAGGGGATTCTTTAGTCTCCAGGTTTCCTTGTTGGGGGGGGGGGGGCTGGCTCGCTGTTGTCAGTTCTGCAAGAAGGATCCTTACAACATCTATAAGGAGGTGCAGTAGACTAGAGAGCCACCACCTGACCAGGCCTTCAGCTGCAAGGACTTCTTGACCCCACAGAACCCCTCAGAGGCTGCTGGGTCCAACCCCCTCAGTGCTGTGATTTGCTTAGAGCATGATTATGAAAGCTAGCCCTTCCCCAGGATGCAAAAGCAGTGTCCCCTTCAACGACATGGTAAGCGGGAAGGGCAGGGCAGAAGAGAACTGATATGAAATCTACTTGATAATCGTGGGAGGGGAAATAAAGCTTTTAAATTATACAGTGTACGTGCAAGTTTCTTGTGTGGCACCTACCCATGTCCATCCTTAAGGAGGTCAGTGAAGTCATGTCTTCTGTATCATGGGTGTTATATTCTGGCTTTAAAAAATGTGATGCCAAATGCATGCATGCATACACACACACACACACACACACACACACACACACACACACTCAGAGAAGAATCGGGTGTGATGTGCAGACTTAGTGAAATGAGAAGGTGAGCCCACCTCCTTGATTAGAGAAGACGACATCTAAAAGCATCATGCACCCTCAGCATGGACAAAGTGTCCCTGCTGCAAGAATTGTGCCGACCCCAGTGTTTGTTCAGTTGTGTCTGGGGGCACCATGAACTGGGCACTGAACACTAACAACAGAACCCTGGCAAGATGACCCTTCTGCCTACAATCTACCGGTCATCTCTGTCAGGTCCATCGAGAAGTCCCTCTCTACATCTAAAATGTTTGGTCTCTGTCCTCTTCTGCCTTTATAACAGTCTCAGAATTTCCAGTGTGCATCATCTCTCTGTTTCTAGAAAACATTTCCTGCTTGACACTTTAGACGTGACCTTTAGCACTTGGTCCTTACATGTGTAGAGATAAGTTAGTTCTGTCAGGTTTCTTATTTTTGACCTTTTATTGCATCCACTGTTAAAATGCTAGGACTCTGTGAAATACACTGACCATCCTGCCTGTCATCTGAATTCACCAGTGACAAGGGTTGGCCTCAAATCTGGTCCACCTCTTATTTTAGTGTCTCAAGTTTTAGTGAAACACAGTCATGCCCATTCATTTATATATGAGGGGGCCCTCCTCGCTCCCAAAATGGAAAAATGTTCCACTGGGCAGAGCTTTCATAGGCAAGCATCAGGTAACTCCCTCTGAGTTAGTGCACCCAGTGGCATTGCCTGGGAAGGTGCTCTCTGGTCACAGGGAACTTTTCTCGTCAAAGCAGTTTCACTCAAACCTCATTTTTAGTGATGGCCAATTTAAGAGAATAGTATGTGGCTGTGAAATTGTGTTTCCTGCTCAGGAAAAATGCTGCAGAAACTGTTGTTATGTTGAACACAGCTTACAAAGACAGTGCTTGGGAAAAACTCAAGTATATGAGTGAGTTTCTCATTTCAAAAATGGTGAAATGTCGATTGTTGATAAACTTCCTTCTGGATGTCCGTCAACTTCCCAGTCGAAAATGTCAACTGTAGTGCTTTTGGTGTGCACTCCACCAGGTCAGACTGTCAATCAAGCTTTCTACTTAGAGGTTCTGAAAAGATTGTGTAACAGTGTGGGACAAAAAAGGCCTGATTTGTGGCAGATGGGGGACTGCTATTTTCCACCACAACAATGAACCTACTCATGCAGCCATCTTAGTGCGCCAGTTTTTGGCAAAAAAAAAAACATGCCTCTCTAGCCCCATGCACCTTCCTCACCTCCCTCACCTAACCTCACTCCTGTGACTTCTTTTTGTTTACATGAATAAAGAGGGTCATAGAAGGACAACAATTTGATGACATAGAAGAGATGAAGAAAAAAATGAGGTGCTGTCAGCCATCCAAACATGAGTTTGAACAATGTTTCCAAGAATGGAATTGCAGATTTGACAGATGATTAAGTGTAATGGAGAGTACTTTGAAGGTGATAATGTTTTATTAAAAAATGTAAATACACAGCTTTGGGGTTGGGGGATTCTGTTTTTTTGGGGGTACACCCTCGTATTGTTTATGACTGCTTTCACGTTACAATGACGGGGTTGAATGTTTACAGTGGAGATTGGTTTTCAAAACCTGGAATGTTCACCATCTTTCCCAGCAAAGGGGCTAGAAGGCAAGTGTGCATTGAGGAAACGTGGCTTTTGTTTGTTGCAGGAATTGCATCATCAGGGATGATTTCTCTGAACAGTGGTTTTCCAGCTCATTTTTCTTGTTTGCTTTTGTCCTTACAGTCAGTGCCTGCTTCTTCTTTGTTTGGATAGTTTGTTCCAGTTTTCCATACAGCATCTTAGGAACTATGTGCTGGTTTCAGGAGCTGGGCGATAGTGATGTTTCATCTCTTCCTTGAAGCATTGTGAGCGCCTCATCCTTAGGCTCTTTAGCTTCCAATTAAACAGGGAGGGGGAGAGAGTATCATTCTTTCGCTGTCGCTGGCCAACCTTCAACTCACCTGGAAGCCTCAGGTATGAAGCCTGATGCAGATTTACCTACCTTTCACTCAGCACCTTGAAGTATTAACGTTTTCTTGGCTTATGCTTGTTGGAAATCAATTACCTATGCTTCACTTGGAACATTTGAATCGCATCTTTGGTTGTCTTTTTATTCCCCCGGGTTTCTTTGTAATTGACGAATTGTCTTGTTAAACACCATTAGCAGACAGTGTTTTTCCTTTCTGATTTTAGTTCTGCTGTCTAGATTAGTAAAATGTCCTGTGTGTGTGTGTGTGTGTGTGCATTTTCCTGTCCCAAGGAAGCATCTTCATTTTCTTGTCTGCACCCACATGTCAAGTTTGCCTATGTGTCTCTTCTTCCTGCCACTTTCCGAAGCATTCAACACCGATCGACAACAAGCACAGGAGGGCACTATGCTCAGAGGAAGCAAGTTCCTGGCAAACGGGGCCATAAGTAGGGTTGCCAGATTTAGCAAATGAAACGGCAGGATGCCTGGGTAAATTAAATTTCAGATAACAGTATTATGATATAGGTGATACATCTTAAGACAATGGTTTTTCAGTCCCCTTAGTCAATTGGAATCTTCTGGATAACTTAAAATGAGTGCACATACTCAGGGCCTCTTGCAGATGTAGATTCTGTAGAGCTCTCACTGAATGTTAACAAAAAAAACATTTTTACATGCATTGCCCGATGATTGCGATGGTCAGCCAGCTTTGTCCATCCTGACCTGGGAGGAGGAGTACTTTCTCTGAGCCTGGTGCTTGGCCACATGCTAGAAATGCTAACAATGAGTAAAGAGGTAGACACATAGTCTGGGTTGGCACTGTGGTCCCTCAAAGTATGATCTTGCAGGCAGACAGCATTAGGGACCCCTAGAAACTTCAAAATGCAAATTTTTGATCTTCGTCACTGTTTACTGAATCGGACACTTTTAGGGTTAACTCACTGTCACTGAGTCAATTCTGACTCATAGCGACCCTGCAGGACAGAGTAGAACTGCCTCTTTGGGTTTCCAAGATTTTAAATCTTTATGAGAGTAAACAGCCTCATCTATCTCTTGTGTAGAAGCTGGTAGGTTCGAACCACTGACCTTGTGATTGCAGCGTTTTTGTCCATTGCACATAGGCCTAAAATGGACAAGTGTCTTAGACCCCAGAATCGTTGCATTCGTCCCTAGGGAACTTGAGCACGAAGACTACTTTGGCGTCATAAGTTATGTGTTAGGCTGCCAACCACAAGGTCAGTGGTTCTAACCCACCATGGGAGGAAGATGAGGCTTTCCTCTCCCGTAAAGATGAACAGGCTTGGAACCCCACAGGCGCATTTCTGCTCTGTCCTGCAGGGTCGCTATGAGTTGGACTGGCAAGACGGCAGTGAGTTTGGAGGTGTTGTGAAAGGCATAGACAGATTTGTTCTAATGGAAGCAAAAGGATTGGCTATGAATCTGAGGAGGGCTGGAGGCCTGTCCATGGTGTATTTGAAATAGATCTATGTTCTAGAATAGACTTTGAATTTCCATCCATCCATGCTTTCCCGAGAAAGACAAAATAGGAACGGAGCCTTTCTCTTCCCCAGCCGTGTCTGAGCGCTCCTTAAATTAGATTCTCAGTGAAGTTAGCAGTCAGACGGGACAGTCATTGGTTTCCTTGCCATCTGCATTCTGTCATGTCAGTTTCTACATGAAGGATGTTTCCTGAGAAAAGCGAGGCGGGTCGGCTTCTCTTCCTCACTGGGAAGAACTTCTCAAGCCCCACAAAGCATGAAATGAGCAATCTGGACTGGGGTGCACTGGGGAGGGGAGGTGTGGCATCGAGAAAACGTATTTCATGTTTGTGACATTACTAAAGTCTTATGCAAAATTTTTTTGTGTGAGTGACATTTACACTCTAGCTTATAAAAGTTTACTCTGACCTTTAAATCTTGGACATTTTATTCCCCCCCCCCTCTGTGCTTCATCATCGAGTTTATGATTTGTGAGAGGGGAGGTCACATTGTGATGCTGTTCGTGCCGGGGTGCCAATCACGGTGGTGACAAAGGTGAGTAGATCCACAAAGGTGAAAGTTACAGAAGGTGGAAAGGAGTGGCTGTGGTAATGTGAAGCGGCCGTTGGGCATTGCTCCACTGAAACGTCCCTCTAGCCGACTTCCCATTGCTCCTGTCCTCCTCGAAATTCTCTGCCTCCTTCCCAGCACCCTTCTCCCACCACCTCTGCAACATCTGGTGTTGAAGTGGACGCGGAGTGGTCTTTGGGTGACCTGGGGAATGGAAGCTCACCAGAGTGGGCTATGCAAAGTGGAACTCCGCCAGCTCCCTCCCAGGAGTGTCCTTGAGCAGGTCTGGGCATTTGCATGCTTACCAAGCATCTCAGGTGATTCTGATACGGGTAGTTTGAAGGCCTTTGTAAAAAATAGAAACAGCGTGGGCCTCAGCATCAGATCAGAAAAGTAGGAAGAGACCATTACACCCCCGCCTTCCCTACAATGTTTTAGAGTACGTGCAAACTGGCACACACTCAGTGAACAAGCTGAGCTGCTCTTCAAAAAGTTGGAGGGGTGTGTGTGTGTTTGGGTAGGGGGGAGCACCTTGAAGGAAAGGCTTAGCAAGCTGCTTCTGAACCTCCAGCCAGTGGGAGTACCGAATAGGATTTCCCTCTGATATGCACAAGGTCGCTATGAGCCCCAATCCACATGGTAGCCCACAGTTGAAGGGACAGGAGGCACCTGGAAGGTTCTGGAGGTTGGGAGGGCCACCATGCCAGCAATGCTCTTAAGAAGCCTGGGACAAATGAGAATTTCTGGAAACTGGGACCCCCAGGAAATATTTGCTTGGCAGTCT